CCAAATCTCTGTGTTTCCCTCTCTCTCTCCAATCGCAGACATCCAATGCAATCGTTTTATTGATGAAATTATAGGTTAATCTTTAGATGTGGCCACTCTAGACAATCAGGCCTAGATGTAGCATTTTTTTCGATTGTGCTTACTCTTTCGCATGGATCAGATCATAATATCTCAATATCGGTAACTTAGTTTAGTTTTATAAAGCCAATTTTACAAGAATACACGATTTGGCTATAAATTTTTCTTCGACAATGTGACCAAAAAGCAGACACCTTTTTAAAGACATACATCCCTGTTGCTTAACAACGGGTATTTAGACTTTCCGGCGAGATAAAGTGTAAGACGCAAATAAAAGTTACGAGCGTTAAGAATTTCGAATAAGATTGAACGTTTTCCAGATTGGCGCTTTCAGAGCGTCCTCTGGAACAAATAGTCGGTGGTGAAGTAAAAGATCCGCAAATGGGCAATAAATTTTCTGTTTACGGCGGCAAAATTTTAATGAAACCTCATACGGAATAACTTGCGTAAGGAGAGTAGCCGATCTTCAGTTATATTTTAAACTAGATGGTAATATACATTTTATAGTTTAAGCTTTCATAAGGCTTTATGACTAGTAAAGATCAGACATTGTTATACAATTTTCCGAAGGAAGCAAACGATGCACGATGTACCGTTTGGAATCTTGCAGATGGAGAAAAAATGAAAAATAAATGAAATAAACGGAACTTAATGCCCCAATTTACATCCTAGAACCAGAGTCGTTCAGGATTGTGGGCTTCGTCTAGAACAGCTACGGAAGTAGCCAGTAGCAACCCGCCGCAATACACACAATTTTTGAATATTTCGCCTCACTATTTCAATTTTTAATTAATATTAATAACGCACATTAAGTTCGAAATGTTTATGTTCTTATTTACTTTAAAATTTACAACTTAACGTAATAATTTCCAATAATTTGCCGTTTTTATATAATTTTGCTTTAGATAGGATAAATTTGATTGGTGTCACACTCATTTTGACATTGACCTCATAGGGTGTCAAGGGAAGAACAATCCATTTCAACAAGATATCCGCTTGATTAGGTTTGGTGGGCCAAATTCATTTGCCTTTAGAGACGAAGGGACCCATAAACCACAGCTTGCTGTTTATTCACTGAAAACTACTAAACTAAGCAGACAATTCAGTGTTCAGTCTTTATCAGTTCTGTATACCTTTATCACTCCGAATACCTATATGTCCATTGATTATATTATTTGTTTCTCCATCTTATTTAATTAATTTTGATTTATCATTTATGAGTGTTTTTTGCAAACATTTTTTTTTCAAAGTTTGGAATTATTTGAAAAACATTTTTGATTTTTTTTAATTTTTAGTTAAAAAACATAATTTGTTGATAATATGGCAACAGAGGTAGTAGATTAAATTTGCAAGAAAAAGATCCAGTAAAGATCCAGTGGTATTCAAAATTTAAGAAAAATTTTTTTTTTTTGGAAATTTTTAAAGTAAAATATCTCGGTTATTTTGGATTTATTTGAAAAATGGTAAAGAGAAAATTTGTTTCTTTTATCGACATCTACCAGCCCTGAAAATATTTGCATTTATTTAAGACTTATTCTGTAGAACTAGTATACAAATTAAGTGTTTAACGAGGTGTTAAATTACTTTCTATATGAAAGTTACCTTTTACTAATACGATACGAATTAAAAAATACATTTAGAAAGATAAAGAATATAAAAGGGAGTATATGTAAAAATTTCTAGAATAATGCCCTAAATCATGGGTTTTTATCTTATTTTCAAGTTAATGTTTCTTTTTGGATGGAAAAGCAAAGTATCATGACACAATTTAGTTCTTTAAGCAGGTTCTTAACTGCTGAGAGCCATAATGTTGTAACTACTTAGCGATTGTTTTAAATAGACCCTTATTTTTTATATATCCCACTTCACCAGTCTTGCCTAACAGGTATAAAAGAGAAAACCTAGTTTATATAATATGCGAAAGTATCCTTGACAAAGATCACATATAGTTCTTGGAGTATATTTGTTTTAGAAATAGCTTAAATATTAGTATACTATTTAAAATATATAATATTATATACAACAGAATTAATATTAAAACATATAATCAAAAGTTTATGAGTCAAGCATTATTTCACAATAAAATAATTGATTTGAATATGTAGAATGTTTAGCAGGGGATTTAATCACTGCGACATTGCACATCTATTCTGTGTTTCCCTTTCTTGAGTTATAGCGGGGTATAACTCATCATACAGTCTCAATGCTTTGACAAAAGCCAGTATGTGAGACGGCTCCGCTCTCCATCTTCGACATCAGTCGTACCAAAGTTTATGGCACGAATGGTTGTCGTCTCGGCGCACACAGTGACAAGGTGTTCTGGTGTTTTCTCATTTTTTCCCACACAATCTGCATTCTGTGGGAAAAAATGAGGTTTGTTTCTCGGCTTTAATCTACTGAGGTGTTCGTTGATAAGACAGTTGATGAGACTGTTAGAAACCACGTGGCAATCTGAAGATTGTTCTTACTTAAATCAAGGGAAATCTTTGATTATTTTTGGTCGTGAGTTCTGAGGAAATTTTTCGAGCCTTTTAGACCGTTGGAGGATTCCCATTCCAGGTTAGAGATGGAGTCCTCTAGGTTCTTCAGTTCTGCTTTGAGTTGGTTTCCGCTTGGCAAGCAGGACGGTTCTAGTCCAGTTAGTGGGGTGTTCGCTCCTTTTCTAGCTAGTTTGCTTTTTTATTGCCTTTTATCTATTGGTGAGCGGGTACCCAATTAGGAGGATTTTATTTTCTTTACCTAATTTGTTCAGCTTCTCTAATTTGATCTTTAAATTTGAATATGAAACAAGTTTTATTAATTTACTTAATTTATATATAGTTTATTTCTGATTTCTATAAAAAAAATTCTCGATCTAAATAATTATTGTAGAGTTCTCCTGATGAAGATATAAATTATATCGAAATATTGAGATTAAAAACGAATGAGTTTTATTTAATATAGTAAAAACACATAGAGATAGATACAGGGGGTAAGTACATGACCCATTTCTGTACCGTGAAATGGGGTGACTTTACCTCTTGGGGCGACTTTCCAAATTCCGTCCGAAAATATGTTAGACGTAGCCGTAGCCACGACTTGAAAAGAACGCGTTATGTGTTATCGGTAAATTATGGGTGGGGGCGCCCCACGTCTCGGAACATCGCTAAACGCTTGTCAGTTGCGATGTAGCATTTACAGTGCTGTGAAGCCAAATCTGTTTTTAAAGCCTACTTTGTGCGTTTCAAACTTCTACGTGGCTGCAATAGTTAATCACGCTATATTGAGATAAGTATTATGCAGAAGTTCGTTATAATATTGAGGGTGATGACGCATATTTTACGTAATTATGCTTTTAAATAGGGTGGCTTTGGTCTATCAATAAGAATAAGGAAGAGGGCAAAGACAACCCATATAAGCAACTAACTTTGCCCATCCAGTTTTTATATAATATATATTTTTTTAATAAACAAAAAAGCGTATTATTGTTGTGTTGTCCTTATTACTACTTATAGCATAGACCATGCGCATTTAAGAAAATACAACAATTTTTGAAATAAACACGATTTAAAATTCAGAATTGGGTAAAGTCACCCCACTTCACGGTACACCAAAAGGCAACGAATGCCTCGATTACTCGAATATTGCCCCGCAGTGCCCCTTTCCTACTCAATCATGCCCGACAATGCTCCGTATTGCCCAATAATGCCTCGTATTTTCCAAGAATGCCCCGTATTGCCTGGCAATGTCCCCTAATGCAATATATATCTAGCTCTTTTCATTGCATGTGGTGAAAAGAGACAAATAATATTAAAAAGGGTAAACACTTTTTTATAGCCCCGGCATAGTTCTTATGTATCTTCTTGTCATAATAAATTACCTAAAGGCACAACCATAATATTTATATTTTTATTAAAAAACTACACATAACAGAAATAAAAAAAATAAACTCGCTTTCGCAAAAACAATTTAGGATTAATAACAGACGAACAGTTTATATTTATAGGTAGGTATAGAAACTGCAGACAGGCAACTTTTCCCTAATTTAACAGACAGTATAGCTCTTTCCATTTTGGGGATAGCAATAGTGTTATCGCTTAAAATGAACTCCCATATACATACTGCGACAATAACTACATACTCCAAAACAATAAACAAGCTGGCTGGTGCTAGAGCGTTGACCCGTTGCGCTGACGACTGCAAGACGTTTGAGTGTTGGTGATGTAATGACGTAATCAAAGTGATGGTGGAAGGATGCGCGCGCAATATATTTAGCTTAAATATTGCACCACATTGCCCTTTCAATGCCTCATAGTGCTCAACAATGCCTCACAATACCTTGTATTTTCCAACAATGCCTCATAATATCTCCGCAATGCCCCACAATGCCCCGCAATGCCTGACATTGCCCTGCACTACCCGACAATACCCCTAGGTTGTACACCACATTGCCCCATGTACTTACCCCCTGGATAGATACAACCGATAATCTATATTTAAAAACATTTATTCATTTCTAATATACGTTTAAACTAAAAAATACAAGATGATGTTTACCAAGCTATTCCTAGTACTTTACTTTGAATAATCTTCTTAATTCATTAAATAAAACAAATGGCGTTTGTATTCAAGATAAGAAGTTTAATCCTCTTAAAAATCAATTTTTTCGCTGATTAAAACATCAGATTGTTCCCGGAGGGAGGGATAAGTCATCTAGCAAGCTCTAAATTATAAAAAAACTCTTAAAAAGTCTTAAAATTATATTCCTTGCAATTAGATTAAATGTTTTTAGAGACTTATTTTTATTTTATAAATTCATTTTACTCTTTCATATCACGTAAATATTTTTATTTTCAATTGAAAATAAGATTTGACTGTACTTATACATGTAATTTTCCTTTAAATATTAAATCTTAAACGGTTGTTTGAAGGGGAGAATAAAATGTTAGTTTTAGTCAATTTTATTATCTTAAGAAAATTTATTTACATTATTTAGGAACATTATACCGATTCTAATTATGCTATACATCACTTTTGCTACTTTTTTCAGTTTTTATAACCATAAGCTCTTCTTCGGGATGTTCTTTGGCCTTCTCTGGTGAATTCCAAGGCTGTAGTTCAGATTTTGCAAAAATTACATACATAATTCCACTGATGAACAGCCAGCCACTAGCGATCCAAAATACTTTTTGCCACTGGGGTGTCGTTTGCTAAAATACATACAAAAAAATATATATAGAAAGAGTGGTACTGTAGTAACTATAAAATTTAGAAGTTTTAATAACATTCTTTTTATTTCTTGGAGCAAAGAAAATTCTAAAATAAGTTAAAACAAAAAAATAATTGAATTTTTAATATGCTTAAAAGTATTTTACTTCAACAGAAACTTTCACGTATCCATTGAAATTTTTACAATAGATGTATTACTGTTAGATAACAGATTTTATAATTTTATTTAATATTTATATATTGTTATGTTTTCTTAAAAATACCATTAAGGATTTAAATTTTCCGTTTTTGATCCCTTTACAATTATAAATGAAAATAATGAGTATACATAAAGAAATAAAATAACAGCTTTAATTAATACAATATGGCATTTCTAAAATACATCTCGATAAAATACCGATCGAAATAAAAACACCTACCTATTGGCTTAGAAATGAAGACTGATGGCATTTCCAATATACAGGGTGAGTTTTAAATAAGTGTAAATATTTTCAGGGCTGTCAGAGTTCGATAAAAGAAACATCTTTTTTCTTTACCGTTTTTTCAATAACTCCAAAATATCCGAGTTATTTTACTTTGAAAATTTAAAAGAGGTATTTCTTGCTTAAATTTGGAGAACCACTGGATCCTTTTTGGATTTTCTTTCTTGTAAAATTAATCGACTGCCGATGTTACCATATTATCAATAAATTGTGTTTTTAACTAAAAACTAAAAAAAATTCCAAAAAATTTCTGTGTTTCTGAGGTCGAAATATACTACCCTTAAAAATATTTGCACTTATTTAAGACTCACCCTGTATAATTTACATATGAAATGAGAGCGATCTTAATTCCTAAGCTATCTCTGACGCCTTTTTTTAATCATATGGTATTACTACTATATTAATATTTTAGAGAATAAAGTCTTCGCTGATATAACTATATTTTTTTTATGTTTTGATAAACTCAGTTTTTAAATTATGTTTAAGAATTTTAGGTTCACAAGGAAAAACTTTATAAAAAAACTGACTTCGACAAAAAGGAAATGAAATAATCAATATTTATCTATATTTTTTTTTATGTACATGTTTGTTTAAAAATTGTGCGATTTGCAACAAAATTCTGCATATTGAAAAGCATCAACTAAATAAACGCGACTTTTTAAGAACGTCAATGGTGTTTATAGACGTATCTGTTGAAAAATTAAATCTGTTGAAAAAAAACTAAAGTGATCTCGAATAATTGTATTTAGATATTTTAAATATCTAAAAAGGTTTTTTTCTCTGTTCTTTGTGTTTTTCTGCTTCCGACGACGGGAAGAGATATACTTCTTGAAACGTTAAGCATTTTTTTGGCCGTTAATCATATTTGTTTATTAGTAAGACACTGTTCACAAGCGAGTCTCCGTTGGGTTAACAGTGCTTGCAAAAAAAAAACTATTTTATTTTGTAGATTTTCTTACAGTGGCGAAATACCCATTGGATTTTTTTTGAAGAGCTAAATAGCGTTTCTAATCTTTGTTTCCCGCATGGAAAATTATTTAAGAAATATTTACATCTATTCAAAATAGATTAGAGAAAGTCTCATGGACCAGTAAGGAAAAAAAAATGAGTTTACTAGATTTAGTTAACTCAAGTTTTCCTTATTTAGATAAGGAATAAAAAGATATAAAACATGTTTTATATGTGAAAGATATTTTGAAATCCAAGATCAAAAAGTTAGAGACCATTCTCTCTGGAAAATACAAAGCCGTTACAGTTACATAGTTACGGAAGGTGTAAAATAAGTTATAATTTACTCAATTTTGTGTAAATTGTTTTTCATAATTTTAGTGGCTACGATTAAAATATGTTAATACTTAATAAAGATATTAAAATATGTAGATACTTAATAATGATTCTGAAATACTCAATTTGTTGAGATTTTGTAGAAAATATTTAGCTATTTTTGAAACTATTTAATAACAGATACTATAAATATAGCAGCAACAACACTACTGCTTGATAGAGTTGATTGAAACATTTTTCAAATATTTATTAAAATAAAAAATTATGATAAAAATGTTTTAGATGTTAACAGGATGAATTTCACAGTAAGTGTCCAAACGTGAACTGTAAACATAATAACAATAAAACTGTCAACAGCAATAAATAAAATAAAACAAATGGTACTTACGTTTTGAAAAGTCAAGTATCCGACAACAGCAGGTGTAAAGAACCCAACAAAAGCAGCCGCAGTGTTCATCATTCCAAGAATGACCCCTAGAATTAAAACTGACAAATGAAATACATCGATATGTCTAATTTTCCAGAATTCAATAAAATAAATTCAGTATGTTCAGGGCTGGATGATTTAAACGGTATTTTTGACATCAGGTGTTACTCGATCAATGGGCCGGAACAAAGCGCCCATTATTCACAATCAGAATTATGGATATGGTATGAAAGAGAGGATTGGAGCCAGGTTTAAATACGTCCAACGCGTACGGCATCGTATAAAGCACAGCTGAATAGACATCTCACGACATGCAGTGTTCTAATGGATAATTTTGACATGATTAGCGCTTATTCCGTGAATTTATATCCATGTACGTTGTATAGTTGTGTTTAAATATCGGATATTACATGTGTTATTTATTAGCATTAGTGATATATTGCTTTATGACAAATTATTAGACTTCCTTGAATTGTGTAAATAATTTTTGGCTAGTTTGGTTTAGTTTGACGACGTTTTTTTTTGACGGATTTATCGATAATCATGAAATTTGCATACAGTGGAACAAAATAACTTCTTGTCCTCATATTATTTTTAATATTAAAAATATGTATGCACAACGTTTCTGTTAGATGTATCACTGGCCGTTTTCAATTGTGTACTAGCGTAAATCCAAGAATTACTCAGCCTATATAGTTGCCAAACTTTGGCTATAAGAGGGCCACACTTCTTTTATGGAAATAGGATCAGGCCTCACTTGCTCATGCATCCAGAAAAAAAAACATTTATCTGTATCGATCCCTGCTCAGATAAAAAAAAGGAAGCGCAAAATAGACGAAAAACTTTTTTAAATAAAATCTTTACCATTGCATTTAAAAAATACTAAAAGTAATTCGATTTTTGAGGCTGTTACTGCTTGACTTGCTCATTTCTATAGGGTTGGTGAAACAAACATATATTTTTCAAGAGACTAGTATTATTATTTCATATTAAAAACTAATTCTATAAATTTAGCTTTTTTTAGCTTTTTCCAAAGAGATTCATTGAGGACAAACCAGTATCCGACTACTTTATTTTCTTGCGATTAAACCACACATGGTGTGCAATACTTTATATCATTATTTTAATTCTTTGAGTATGTGTAATGTTTTGTATACGTAACTCATTACAAAGTAATTTACTTCAACAGAGAATTCTTTTACAAGTACTGAAAATAAATTACCAAGTAAAAATTTATTGTTATAAAGTATGCATCATTTAAGAAAAGCAAGAAATTTTCAATGGTTTTATCCTCTAAACTTACCGGTAGTTACTTATGTTTTAATAAACTTACATTTACTAAACTGTAAATCATTATCGGAACTTTAAATTTAATTAAAACTTAATATATTAATTTTCGAAATATCCATGGCTTACTATTAACATTAACTTAGTTAAAGATAGGACCTATAATCTGATCTTTACCCTAGTTGCCAACAGATTACATTATGTGCTTCGATCTACCCAATTTTTTTGATTCTCCGAATAATTTAACTTCTATAAGCGAATTATAGTCAAGTACCTTACTATGTACCCAACTCCTTTAATAAACCCTTTACCTTATGGAAAGCAAGTTTTATATCAGCAATCGTTTTATAATATACACTAATTCTAAGTTAAAATTTATATAACTAATTTAGATATTTTGATTTTTTAAGCCATAGAAGTATTTCTCTAAATATATTTTTTACTTCTTTCAAATCCTAAATGGAATTTTATTAAAAACATGCAGTATATGCAGTAGACAGAGGAAATCATAAAAAGTTATTTCTGTCTTTGTTTGAAAGACAAATTATAAGAATATGTGAAATAACTCTGACATAATGAACTGCTAATAAACTGATTTTGTTGCAACTTATGATTTTTTTTAGATTTGTGTAAAACTTTTTTTAATAATACAATTTTTGTTATAGATTCCATTTTTTTTTTCAAATAAAAATAATCGTATCCAGTTTTGAAAAGTTAAATTTAAAAATGAAAGAACTTTATAAACTTCTAGAATAATTAGAAGATTACATAAAAAATAAAAAATTGTTGATAAAATTAATAAAACCATGAACGCTCAAATTAATGAAATGCTAATTGAAAATGAAAAATAGAGAATTGATCATCTAAGAGATACATGAAATATTGGTAACATTAAATATAAACTTATAGATGGCAGTTTTGATTATAAATATTAATATTTATGTCTTGTTAGACCAATGTTATTCAAAAGACCATGTTATTCAATGTCTCTCACAAATTATACCAAGTGTATCTGAAAATTTTTTAAAGAGAAATATAGATAGGTACGTTCATAAAAACAAAACTGAAGTGGACAAATATACAAGTAAAGACAAACAGACTTTCTATTATCAAGAGTTAAAGAATATCTGGATAACCTAGCCATAGAACCAGTGAAATTAATGAGACTGATATAAATTAAAAAATTATAGAATATGACAAAAACTAGGTATAAAACCTATGTAACAATTACTTTCATGAATAAAATTCTTGGTGAATTTAAAATCTTAAAAGGGACATATAGGAACAAGAGGTAATGAGTTAAATTAACAGAATAAATGCCATTTTGCATGTAGATCTTGTAAAAACTAGCAATATTAACCGAGTTTTAACAAGAAGGTATATATTACATTTTGGTTGTTAGCAATATGTTATCAAAGCATTTTTTGACAGAACCTGTAAAAACAAAATCGGGTAAAGATGTCACCACAGCCATGAAAATATTATTACCTACACTTAATATTTACAGTTATGTAAGAACCAAATAAACATTCTATACCAGATGTTTCTCTAAAGTGGCCCACCCCTATAATATTTTTCTTATTTCAGATAAATCAACGGGATCTGGTACGTTATTTTGGTTTGGTTTGTTAAGGTAAGGAATGATTGACTTGCTTTCGGCCACTTCCTATTTCACCGGAAATGTCTATAATTTTGGACTTTTAAATGGCATTCTCGGTAATTTTTTACTTTCTTCGTTAGAAAATGACACTCTGAATATAATGACATATCATATGTCAACATTTGACATTCTTGCTTAATATAACGTATTTTAAATTTCAATCTAGAGTGCCATGCCTGTTTTGGAAAAATAGATTTGATCGTTTAGATGTTAGTTAGATCGATGTTTTTCTTGTCTTGTCCTGGCCAGTTAAAAGATGTCCAAATCGTATTTTATCATAACTCAATTTTGTCAAATGGAACAAAGGTAGCTCATTAGCATGTTTGGAAAAGCATTTCTTTTAAGAATAATTTGGTACCACATCATTGGTATCTCGGGTCAAATTATTGTTTTATTTATGGCTATAGCACTCTAAATTGAAATTTAAAATGCTATTTTTTAATTGAAAATGTTAAAATTTGCATATTATACGCCATTTTATTCAGAATATAATTTTCTATCAAATTAAGTAAAAAGACGAAGACGAAAAGTAAAAGAGGAAGTGATGGAAAACAATTGAATATGTCAATCGATCCTAATTTATGTCATATTCTAGCATACAGAATTTCGCTTTTAAGTGGTGAACCAGTTTTGAGAAACACCCGGTATAATAATATTAATATCATCAATTAAAAATAATTTCGTTATACAAAAAATGGTATTCACAAAACTGAAATGTAAAAATTGGCTTACCCGCATAATTTGGACTAACATCTACGACGCTCGCCAGGGGGCCTGTCGATACGGATCCATGCACGGCCACGGCCAGTGTTAGGAATACAATTGCGACCGTGGCATCGCAGCCTGAATATGCCAAACACATCATGAATATACCTTGACCCATACAGCCTGAAACCAAGAGAAAGAATAAGATAAATTGCTGTTTAGTTATTTTAAGTGTAAACATAATATAGGTACTACTAAATAAATAAAGTTAAAGCACGGCTCATAATTTATACGTATCTCTTGAAACGTAAGTCAGAAACTTATGCTACGGCTGTAGTTGCGTTGTCGTACAAACAAAAGGCATAATATTTTAGTATTTATAATTGTTTTGCAGAACGCTTTCTTTGATTTTTAAAATGTTGTCTAATGTGGAATAGCAGAACTTAAAAATTCATAAATAAGAGTAAGGTTATTATAGTTAGTCGTCTAAGGTTATTATAGTTTTATGATTACTTTTGTTCAAAGGATATATTTACTTAAATTGGATTCCACCTTTATAATTGTCATATGGTTTTTTACCAAAAACTAACGGTTTTTGTTCTAAACGTAGTTATTTTTCAATTGACTTAAGCTTCATTCAGAACATCGCAATTAGTAGAATAAATTAGTAGTTTCAATTAGTGGTTATACTTTTTAGTTTGCGATCATTCACAATGTCTCAAAAACACAATTAAAATTAATAAAACATCCTAGCAACAGTTTACGGTAATGAGTTGTATCCACAGAGAAAGCCTAATAGTACGAGAGCTAGCAATGTCGGGAAAACAAGTATTTTAAGACGTCTGGCTCTTTGATAAATCTTTTATTATGCTCTCTGGAACAGCGTGCATGCCGTCTGGCTGCTGAGACACGTTGCGTTCACTACTGCGCATCCAAAGAAGATCCTCTATTTTTTACTTAGCGGTTTAAATTCTAGTATTGAATAAAAACCGAGCAAGTCTCCATTAGCTCGGCGCGTGGAGCTTTCGCATATGAAGCGAATGTCAGTGTTTCGATACTGGCTGGGGGTGCAACTTTTTTATTTTTTTTTTCGTTTATATTCTGATAGTAAAGTAATAAATATTTGCTGACACTAATATTAAATATAAATATTTAATTCAATTATAATAATTGGATTGTAATGATTTAAACATAATGTCTAAAAATAAAACTAAAAATGTTGGCCCTAATTTTTTCTTGCCTCATTCATAAAAATATTTAATTCTTTTATAATTTCATTTTAAAGATTTAAACATAATATAACATTTTAATGCTTTATTACCGTAATTTCTGCCTGTCTTTCTTCAAAATATTTTTTTCAGCTGTTGTTTATTATTTTAATAATCATTTTAATAATACTTTTTTTTAACAGATTGTTATCTAAAAGCTACACAAGTTTATTTTCAGTTCAGTTTGTTAAGATAACGATGGAAAACGAAATTATCTAGTTAAATTAAATATATTAAAATAATAATTCTTTTTAAACAAGATTGATTAATGTTAATGTGTAGAAAATGCGCAAATCTATGGGTAGAATATTTAATTACATAAAAAACTAGCAAAGTAATGTGAAAAAATAAACGCATCATTGTATCTCCACTCATAAACGAGAAATCCCAAAAAATGCACGAAAATGAGACATCCTGTACCCATGTGGTGCGCAGTAGTGAAAGCAACCTACCGGCGCGGCAGCCAGACCATCTTAAACCTATCTAGTAATTAATTACCACAATAATCCGTCAAAACAAATGAAAGTGTCAAATTCTACTTATATACACTACGGATCATAAACCCATAAACGCCATACGTTCTGGTGATAAAAAAACAATTATTTAATACTTTACTATCAGAATATCAACGAAAAAAAAATAAAAAAGTTGCACCCCCAGCCGGTATCGAACCACTGACCTTCGCTTCATAGGCGAAAGCTTTACGCGCCGAGCTAATGGAGACTTACTTGGTTTTTATTCAATACTGGAATTTAAAGCGCTAAGTAAAAAATAGACGATCTTCTTTGGATGCGCAGTAGTGAACGCAACGAGTATCGGCAGCCAGACGGCCTGCACGCTGTTCCAGAGAGCATAATGAAAGATATATCAAAGAGCCAGTCTTAAAATACTTTCTCGAAAACTATAATATTTATTCTATATATTATATTATAGTATTATTATATATTTAGCTCTTAGACTATAATATTTGGCTTACCAAACAATCAACTTTTGATTTCTAGCCACAATTTCTCTTGACGAATAATAATCAAAGGCCAAAATGACATTACTCCCAAATTTTGACGTATACTAATTAGTGAAAAAGTCAAAAGTTTGTTAACTTTATCCACTAATTGAACATTCTTACCACTAATTTTGACGTTCTGAATGCTTACATTGAAATTAAAGGAACAAACTTCTACGCTAATTCAAACTACTAATTTATTCCATTAATTGCGAGGTTCTGAATGAAGTTTTAATTGTTAAATCGATTTGAAAACTGATTTTTTTCGTTTAATATTATCAAATAAAGCTGAATGTTTATTATCATGAAAAGATCAGTATTCTAAGTTAATATTTTTTGCGCTTAGGACTAATTTGTAATATTTAAAAGGTCCATTTTTAGTTACACATGCTCCAAAAATTAAGAATATATATTATATACCGGGTGTTTATCAGAAATGGCTGAAGCCTATAACTTTTTTATTTTTTCAGATAAAAAAGCTAGATATTGCATGTTAGTATATATGACATAAATTCGGATTGATTGACGTATTCAATTGTTCTCAATCACTTCCTGTTTCACCAAAAATGACTAAAAGTTTTGATTTTTAAATAACACCCTCGGTATTGTTTTTACTATTTGACAGAAAATTACATTTCGAATAGAATGACATATCATATGTCACTTTTGATATTTTCAATTAAAAAAAAATAGCATTTTATATTTCACTTATGAGTGCCCTGACCATAAATGTAACGACAGTTTGACTCTATATATCAAGTGTGTGATACGAAATTATTCGTAAAAATGCCTTTTCCAAATAGGCTAATTAGCCACCCTCGTTCCATTTGAAAAAATTGAGTTATGATTAAAAATACGATTTGAGCATCTTTTCACCGGCCAGGACAAGACACGAAAAATATTAATCAAATATATTTTTCTATGGTTCCTTGTTTAAAATATATAGTTTTTAAATAGCACTCTAGATTGAAATTTCAAATACAATTTTTTTAGCTAGAATGTTATAAGTTAACATATCATATTTCAATTTATTGAGAGTGTCATTTTCTATCCAATAAAGTGAAAAAATACCGAGGGTGGCATTTAAAAGTCAAAAGTTGTAGTCGTTTCCGGTAAAACAGGAAATGGCCAAAAAAAATTGAATAAGTCAATCAATCTTGATTTATGTCATATACTAACGTAGGTGTCAAATCTTGTTTATTTATCTGAAAAAATAAAAAAGTTATAGGGGGTGATCCACTTTGTATGATCGGCGCAAATCGGACGTAATCGAGCTTCCTTCGGCTCGCCACGTTTGCGTTTTACGAGTACGTAAAGATATACGTAACACGTAATCGTAAACGCAAGTTAATTTCACTTTGCGCAAGCCTACGCATCAAACGATACGTCTTATTCAACACTGGAAAGATCTACGTCAGAACGATAAATATTTGAAATAAAAGTTACTAAAATATTGTATTAATATTTCTATCTTCTTCGTCTAGAGATAATTATTGCGAATGTAACAGAGTTTTAATTAAAACTTTTGTAACATTCTACAATTAGCGATCGGGAAAGGAAAACTAAAACAGATAATAATTGAGAAGTTACGTTTTTTACGCGCTTGAATGTTTTTGACATCGGTAAATATCAAACTTGTTATTCCACTTGTCGTAGGAAAATAAATATAGACTTTTAAAAAGGTCAGTATTAATTTAAATATTCTAAAGAATACTACTTTTTAGGAAAACATGTTTAAAAAATTAGTATAAAAGAAAGCACCAAAAAACTGTTTTTACTAACAAAAATATTTTTTCACATTACAGGGATTTTAGTCACACATTTTATGTTATTGCTTTAAGTTCTTCTTTGGAAAAGTCAGTCCTTTTAAAATAAAAATATTACTTTTAGAAACGTGACTAAACTCAATTAGATAGTTTCTAATTAATAGTGTAGGATTGTATGCGTATCCTAAATGCTGTAGTTGTGTAAATTATTAGATAACGAAAAAGGAAAGTTTCTATTCGAACTCGAACTATTTACTTCATAAAGAACAGTTCAATTGTCCTGTGTAGACAGCCATAGTCAACTCCGCAGGAAAAATTAACAAAAATATTATTTTTGTTATGTAATTGACTAGTAAAAATCAGCATAAAACATGATAAAAGCGTATTTCAATTTTAAAAGGGAAAACTACGAAATACTTAATATAACTAAAATGACTTAAATCTAAAACGCTTCTTGTACCTTTTATATAATTATAGGGAATTGATAAACGACATATAAGTATTGCCAATAAATTTTAATTAAGGTTTATGAAAAAATTAACGCAATTTTGTTGATTATACATATGCTAATTAAAAAAACATTTTGCTTTATACTCAAAAATTAAAGGATATTATATAAGAGCACATTAAAAAATATATTATTGTACCGCTGTTAGCAGTTAAAAACAATAAATAAATATGTATTATATAATCAGAGTTTATCGAAAATAAATCTAGGTATAATTTTTCATATCAGTTTGCGATTGACATTGCACCGTACCGTGTTCATTAATATCAATATTAGAATAATAAAGTGAGTGTTCTTTTCGTTGTGGGGCATAACTTCTTATAATGCACAGAAGGTGTATTAAACAATTCGAGCAACTGCAGCTTTAGTTTTTTTCAGATTTCAAGCCGGATGTGCCCAGGTATGTTGCTAGGTTTAACATAAAATTATAAGGTGTTATATCTGTGGTACTAAGGTAGAACTCGATATGTTAACATTATTTCACTATTGACATATCGGGCATTAAATTTAAATTATGTTGTAGTTGGTTGTTGTTATGTTGTAGTATTAAATAATATTGAATTTATTTCTATATAACAACGTTTCGACTACTCAAGTGTCTTTTTCAAGTCGAACATATTTCCTTCCTTATATTAAAAATAAAGGGATAATGTTGTTTAATAATTACTACAATCAAATTAAGAACCTACCTTAAACATAGATATAATTCCAATGTTATATAAAAGAATAGATATGCACAATTTGTTTAAAATATAAAGTGTTAACACAGTCATACATTTTAAAACTTAATACCAATTCACAGATATAGGGAAACTAAAATAACTTTCGTTGCACATCATAGTATGACCACCAGCAAACTCCATAAGACGACGCATGGTGTCATTGATGACGTGCAACAAAAGTTGTTCCAATTTCCCTATACGTGTATTTCGTTCATCGTGTCAATAAACTACTATTGTACGGTTGGAAAGTGATAGTACCTTCTTATTTTTTATTGGAGGATCGATTTGGAGGACAGATAAATTTTGTTAATGTAGTTTTTTTTGAATTTCTACCATCTCATAGAATTCACGTTTCTTTTGATGTGTTTCAGTTTTCAAAATTATAGTTAAAATCAAAGGTATATTTTTTTTGCTTTTTCGTGGTGAGTTAGCGCTGTCTGATTTTTTTTTTCATACTTATGACTTTTCAGCCTATTTGCAACTAACACAATCCCTTTATTTTTAATATAACGAAAGAAATATGACTTTAAAAAGACACTTGGGTTGTCGAAACGTTGTCATATAGAAATAATTTCTTAAATATTATTAACATAATTTAAATTTAACACAAAAAATAACGACCTAAAGCCAAGAAAAATCTCCCCTAAAACATATATGTATATTATGTTATACAACATTGTGAGCTGCTGTCAGCAATAATATTTCGTTTTTTACATTTTGAATAAATAAGAGAACTTCCAAACTACCAACTTTAATAAGGAAAAAAGTTTATATTCCCTAGGAACAAAATTTTTCACTTTTGGCCAAAAGGTCAGTAACAAAATGCTCAATTTTCTCCATACCAAACGAACGTTTTATTACTTTCCGATATTGACACATGCCAGATATTCCTTTTCATTCTATTTTTTTCCATAAACGAAGTTCGTAGGAAAAATTCATATAGGAAGACATAAATAAAACACTTTTAATAAATTTAGTTTGCACATATTGAAATATAAATATAATTGATGTTTACAATGTAAATGGGTTGTTAGTATATGACTAGCTTTATTTATTTATGTTAACAAGTAATTAAAATAATATATACAAATAAATAATGAAATATTTTTATTGTAAAAAATATTTTTTTTTACTTTTTTACGTTTTTTTAGGTAGATCTTTATCAACCTATCCCACGCTCAGAGTTAGTTAAAAGTTCAATATTATACCACTTTTATTTCTTGACATTGTAAATATTTATAAATGTGATAGTGGTAATCTCGACCGTACTTAGCCTTTTGTAAGGAAAAAAAAGAAAAAAAAATATAGTTCTTTTTCCCCTTTCTCCCTTTTTTTTGTGTAATGATATAAATTAATCTCATCTCTTTATATTTATTATTGTAGTTACTCCTGAAGAAGTTAATAAAAATTAACGAAATATCGAGTTTAAAAACAAATTAGTTTAAATTGAATCTATAGACCGCTACCCGATATTGTTCCACATTATATTTATAAATGTTTATTTTAAACAATAAGACTGACAATGTAATTTGTGTACTTGTTTTGTATTCTCTTTTGTGTGTTTACTTGTTTTGTTACTTTGTTTCTTTGTTTGTATTTTATGTACTTTACCTTTGTCTACAAATTGTATTTTTTTTACAATAAAAGCATTTATTTATTTACTACAATTTTTTGTAAACTTCAGATTTTCAATATTTTTGAAAGCTGACAATTTTACAAAATAGCAGTTATATGGCAAGAAATACTTTTATTTTAAATATTATATATTGATAAAGCAAGAACCTTTCACTCTTTACCTATTAATTAGATAAAAACAGTAGTCTTAAAGTTTTATTTTTAAGTTTATGAAGATTTAGTTTCACATGATTTGATGATCACAATTTCGCCACTTCTGTTTAATGTATGAATAGTTATTACGAATATTGCTACTGAAATAGAAACTTTCAATAATAGAAAATACAAAATTTTAAGCAATCACTGGGTTTATAATCCACGATTAGGCATTTTTTGGGTATCTCCGAATTCCTTGTGTACAAAGTTCAGCAACCAACAGAAATTATTGTAGTTTAATTGGGCAGCAGCAGACAACTAAAAATAGTGAATGCCTATACAATACAAATATTTATATGTTATTTAAATTAGTAACTTCATTATACTGGCTCTAGACAATTTTGTTTATAGCTACTAAAAAATCAATTTTTATTGAGCATAATCTACTAATGTGCGATACGCAGTTTTTATATCTATACGATAATATTAACACTGATTCAATGAAAACAATACTAGTATTTTTTTTCTCATTATAATCTATTATTGTTTTTAATAATTTGCGTTAATAATTTGAATTTATTTCTCTTTAATCACATGTTTTACATTAGATGCTATTTTGGAATTCATATAACGGCTTAGTTTAGAGTTATATAGTTGTAGAAAGGAAGGAAATTGTATATATCTATTCACAGCACGTTCAGAAAGAAAAATTATTCAGAAAAAAAGAAGCTGACCTAGTTTTTGCCGCAACCCATAACAGATATCAATTAGAAGTATAAAATGGATTAAGCGCTTTTATACTAAAAAATGAGAATTTGGATATAAAAATAAGACCTTGATATTGCGTGTTCTGTATTATAATACTTGACAGAAATTAATCATAAATTATAGAAAAATACGAGGTTAAAATTTTCAATTTTCAAAATGTTCAAAGACAAGTTTTTAAGTTTTTATTTATTAATTTTGATTACCATGAAAAATAAATTATAAAATGAGTAGCTGTAACAAGAAATAAAATAACTTACATATGACTGTTGCTAGCTTTCTCACGTTTGTTCTTGTCATCTTATTGGTTCGGAGTAGAAAGTCTCCAATTTGCGAGAAAATGTAGGCCCATACCATTCTTAAAAGGTGAGGCATTCCAGAAAATAATCCAGTCTGAAAATAAATTTAGTTTTACAAGTTAAAAAGTAATTACAAATAATAATAATTATAACCTTCTATTTATAATTTTTTCTAAACTAAGACCATTTCATATAAAGAAGGTAATATGATTAATTCTATGCTTCCACCGCCTATTATTACCTTAGGATTGTGCCTCACAAGGACTTATTTACAGCTGAGTTGACATAGGTACTAGATTTATTTTATTTTTATTAAAAAATAGCCGAGTGAGGAGATTCCGGTTGCTGGAATGGAACCTACGACCCTTTGATTGGTAGACGAGAATTGTACTCACTGTCACCGGGTACCTTATACAGGGTGAATTTTAAATAGATATAGTTATTTTCAGAGCAAGTAGATATCGATAAAAGGAATATATTTTCTCTAGTAAATTAAAAAATCACTGGACATGTTTTACATTACTAAACTCAATAAAAATCAAAACAAACCAATTTATAGTAAATAATATACAAACTAACTTTTTTGTAGAATAATTTCACTCTTTGGTTTTAATTTTAGTACATGAAAATGAAATGAAAGCGCGACCAACCGTAAAATACGCTAAAAAATATTCCAGACTATTTTCATCAATTTTTGATATGTAAACCTTTTTGACACAATAAAAGGTCTGTAATAATAAAATCTATCACATGAATAAAAAATAGTTAACTGGTTAAATTGAATAGTGCACACCTTCAATAATAACAATAATTGATATATTTATAAATTCTCTTATCCACTCAAAAATTATATTTTCAAAACAGAAAAATAAAACGCTTTTTAACATGTCGCTGTTAATATTAAGCTCTCGTTAAAATTAATTTCAAAAAATAAAACATATACCAACATAACTGTAAACATGCACTGGGCTAAAGCTTAGAAACTAAGGAATATGTAAAATCAAAAAAAATATGCTAACCAATTAAAAAAAGAAATATAAGAAGACATTGATGTTAAGAAGTAGGAAAATATAGATCATGTGTTTTGTATGAATGTATGCTTGAGTTTGCTTTAAACATATCATCATCATCATTTTCAGCATATTCAACCATTTCTAATTATGGTGTAGCCTCCTTCACATATTTAGAAACTCTCTTTGTAGTTGAGATCGTTGTTGTCTATTATTGGCTATACGAACCCAAGTTATCACTGCTAACTTCCTAATACCATGGTCCCACCAGGTTTAGTCTTTCTCTAGGTCTCTTAATTCCTCGCGGGTACCATGCTGAAATTTTTGTGGTCCATGTGTTGTCCGTCCTTCTTGTCAGGTGTCCTGCCATTGCCACTTGATGGATGTGATTCTGTGGATGACATCTAGTACCTGTTTTTTTATCGTATCCACTCTATTGTTTTACGGTCTTTCTTGGTTATTCCCAGCATATTTCGTTTCATTGAGCATTGTGGAACCTGTAGTTTCGTTGTAATGACCGTTTTAAGTGTCCAGGTTTCGCACGCATTGGTCATGCCTGGTAGTACACATTGGTCGAATGTTTTCTTCTTTAGATAAAATGGCATTCTAGATTTGAATTGAGCTTCTTCCATAAGTACACCATGCTAACTTAATTCTTTAGTTGATTTGTGATAGTAGAGATCCCGAGCTGTGTATTAATTGTCCCAAATATATGTATACTTCTACTATTTCCAATTTTTGTGTTATTTATTAGAATGTTTTTTCTGTCCATTAGTTCATTACTTTAGTTTTTGCTAAATTTATTTTGAGACCTACTTTATTGCCGGCTGTATTTAGTTCTTCAATTTGTGTTTGTAGTTCTTCAAGAACATATATTATCTTATATACAGGGTGAGTTTCCTACGATGTTCTCTATGGGTATCTCGGAAACTACTGGAGATAGCGAGTCGGTTAAATGGGGAAAGCATTGCAGTTTTGTGGGGTCATAAATACGCGCCTTTCTGATTTTTGAAAAAGTTCATGGCTTACTAGATATTTCGAAGAAAACAAATTTTGGCTATTTTAAAAATTGTCCCAAATTCCATTATAAACTATTTTAGACAAAAAGTCTTCAGATAAAAGTTGTAGATAATCACATCCTTAATGAGATTGTGTCCTCCCATTATGTTTTTTTAAATGGAAACCATATTTGGCCGTGACTTCATAAAAAGCGCCATTTTTTAAGTTTTTTAGCAATATAAGCTATAATATGTCTTCTTCGAAAAATTACTGACTTATAGCCAATTTTATTAATTTTTAAACAATTTCACTTAGCCATGAAAACAAATTTAATCGTCTTTGCTCTCAGAAATTTGAAGCTGTCACATCCAAACTTTGAAAATTAAAATAAACAAAAATTGTAAATATGAATTTTTCAAATGAAGAAAAGCGTGTAGGATTATCGGTTCAACTTTTCTTGACCATACATTTTCGAGGATACGTTGCCCGGTGAATGTTACGTTTTTTAGAGAACGATTTTTAAGACATGTTAGAAAAGTTAAATTTAGTTATAGCTCATTCTTATCTATCATAATTTCACTCAGATTGCATGTTATTCTTATTCTGTTATGATTTATAACTTATAAAAAGTCAGAATATATTATTAAACAATTCTTTATAATGTACATTACATAAACTAAAACTTAAAGAAATAATATCACTATATACACTTTAAGTTATTTTAGAAAATGTTCAAAAAATCCGCCATTGTTTTGAGTTGCATCTTTTTAAAACTAAATTACTACCTATTCTCACAGAAAGACCGGTCGACTTGATTAAACTTTTCTCGTACCGCCACTTCGAGTGCCTCTTTTAATTCATATTTTTTTTGTAAACCTTGTTGTTAATCATATCGCATAAAAAAATCTAAAATGGATAGATCAGGTGATCGAGGAGGCCCATGCAATTGGTCCACCTCTTCCTATCCCTGAGTTCGCATAATTATGATATAAATAATTTTTAATATTTCTTTCATTATGGGGGGGGGACACAATGAAAGTCATGTTGGAACCACTTTATTGATGCGCGAGTATCTACACGCTTTTCTTCATTTCTTCATTAGAAAAATTCATATTTTTTACAATTTTTGTTTATTTTAATTTACAAAGTTTGGATGTGACAGTTTCACATTTCTGAAAGCAACGGCGATTGAACTTGTTCCCATTGCTAACTAAGTGAAATTATTTAAAAATGATAAGAATTGGCTATAACTCTGTAATTTTTTGAAAAAAAAAACATATTATAGCTTATATCGTTAAAAAGCTTAAAAAATGGCGCTTCTTATGAAGTCATGGCCAGCTATGGTTTCCATTTTAAAAAAAATATGTTTGTGTCATATGTCAAAAATGACAGGCTTTAGAAAAAAACCGAGGATACAATCTCATTAAGGATGTGATTATCTACAACTTTTATCTGAAGACTTTTTGTCTAAAAGCAGCCATTTTATAGCTATAATGGAATTAGGGACAATTTTTAAAGCAGCCAAAATTTGTTTTTTTCGAAATATCTAGTAAGCCATGAACTTTTTCAAAAATCTGAAAGACGCATATTTATGACCCCACAAAATCTCCAGTAGTTTTCGAGATACCCGTAGAGAACATCGTAGGAAACGCACCCTGTATAATATGGAGATCATTGGACATAAGTGTTATTTGAGGGAATTTATCATTTATTGTCATTTGATGCTCTATGTAATGCAATTTTTTTTGATACTATAATATTCGTAATATGTAATTTTTTAAATTTTAAATGAAGTTGTTCATAATTTAAACACAATAAGTGAAGGAAATCCCTAGGAAAATTCAGGTAGAAACGGAAGTGTTTATTTTTTCTCAATTTACTATTTAGCTTACAACCTGATTTATATCCTGTATCGAAACTTGGATAAACTTTAATTACATTATGCTGGAACATTTTCTGTACTCCACGCCATCCATTAAGCTTTGTGCGAAAAATTCGATAAAAGGAATTTACGAAGCCATGTAAGATAATAGCTTTAAATACTTAATTTCCACTGACCTTTTGTATTAGGATCATGACTTTTTGAGGTATATAAAAAAGAAATTTAATGGTATAATGAACAATCCCATTAAAATTTTCTTAATTATTTTTTTTTGAAATTTGATTAGGTCGAAATGATTTTCGTAATAATATATTAAAGAAAATTAACCAGCAATTCTGTGAAAATAAAGGAATCAAAAGTAACAAAAATGAAAAATTAAGGATTCCTGCATAATTGCAAAGAGCCACGAGCCAAATAAAGTTGTATCATTACCCCAGATTTAATGTCCTAACATAAATATATTTTAGTCAAAAAGTCCTTTGGGTATAAAGAATTTTCTGATTTGAGAGGAATAAATATTTAATTATTCAGAAATTAATAATCTCACAAAGAGCAAATTGATATAATTAGGTGCGTATATATTTTTTTTGGTGTTGTAAAAAAATCTTATATTTTGTATATTTCGAGAATTATTTCCGTTTTTTCAAATTTTACGACAATTAATTACACGAAAAGTGCAAATATTTTCAGGGCTGGTAGATCTTGATAAAATAAACATATTTTCTCTTTACCGTTTTTCAAATAAGTCTAAAATAATCGAGTTATTTTACTCTAAAAATTTCCAAAAAAAAAATTTTGCTTAAATTTTGAGAACCACTGGATATTTTCTGGGTTTTCTTTCTTGTAAATTTAATATACTACCTATGTTGCCATATATTCAATCTTTTTTACTAAAAACTAAAATAATCCATAACATTTTTCAAAAATTTCCAAATTTTCAATTTTTTTTGTACAATATTTTCACTTATATTTAAGACTCACTCTGTACAGTTTTTTTGGATGTGGGCTTTATTAATAAAACCATACAATATAAAAACGTTAATAATTTCGTAAATGTACTCTTTCTAGAAAATAAAAAGTTAAATATGGATTTTACCCCAAAGCAGATGTACATTATTCAATTTTTTCAGGGCACTGATAAAAAGTACATTTCAAAACAAATAGGTTTTTTACAATTCACAGGCAGAAAAAATAATGCATTAG